TTGCCCGTCGCTTTTGCGAAGACGTTCCTCTCACTGTCACTTGTCGCAGGTGGCTGAATCTCTTCCCGTCGGACAATGGTCTGAGCTACTTTTAATATGACGGCCTGGGGGTTGACGTCGGGTTCCACGTCCTTGGCCGCTGGCCAAATGGAAGCCTGCATCTGCTTGCCTATCAGAATCCCCTTTGCCTCCATAACCATTAATCGGCCCATCTGCGGTATTTGTCCGGTGGTACAGATTATATAACGGCCTGGGAGAGCGAGTAATTCTGCGTACGCCTTCCGATGTGCAGCGTCAAGGTGGAGATGGGATTGTCATCATAATCTCCATATCACTCCACTATCAGGGTGTAGTCGAGAGAACGGAGCCCAGGACGGCTATTTTTCCTTTTGGTTATGATGGAGACAAGTACCTATGACGGTCTGACCCGCGAGAGAGGTGACAGTCAAATGGTTCTCTAACACAGGTTGACCCGAGGGGATGTTACTTGCTGAGATATAAATACGGCCAACAGCCCCCCTCTATTAGGCCATACTTCTTCCATACTTCTTCCACCACTATATATACAAATCACCTACAAATCAAGAAGAGACATACCCCCCTCCGCAATCGAATACCTGACGCAAAAACAACCTATCATTCTGAAAAGATGGCTGCCTCTCTCCCACCTCTCCGCATCGCCATGTGCTGCGATGATGCCGGCCACTCCTACAAGGAAGCTCTTAAATCCCATCTCGAGAAGAACCCTCTCGTTTCTTGCGTAGTGGACGTCGGTGTCCCATCTCCCTCCGACAAGCGAGCATACCCTCACGTCGCCGTCGAGGCTGCCTCCTTGATCAAGGAAGGAAAAGTCGACCGTGCCCTTATGATTTGCGGCACTGGCCTCGGAGTTGCTATTGCTGCCAACAAGGTGGCTGGCATCAGAGCCGTCACTGCCCACGACCCCTTCAGCGTCGAGAGATCCGTCCTCAGCAACAATGCCCAGGTTCTCTGCATGGGCCAGCGGGTCATCGGTATCGAGCTGGCTAAGAAGCTGGCTGCCGACTGGTTGAACTACAGATTCGACGAAACCAGCGCCAGCGCAGAGAAGGTCAAGGCCATTGGGGAGTACGAGGCCAAGTTTGGAGAATCAAAATAAAATGGACCGGATGTCATGACTTTCTTCTTCGGCTCTTTTTTGGGATAGACATTGGGATATACATGTTTTACTTATGCTTTGCCCTGCCATCATGTTGTGTTAAATTAGCCTGTAGCGCCTGGGGCGCAAGCAACAAAAGCAAGCTTGATTCGGTTTGCTGCCCACAAAATGTATATACCACCTGCATGTGAACATCACTTCCTTCTTCACCCTATCCTGATTCCTCTGATGGTGAGATGTCTTTTGCAAGGTTGTTTTAGAAGTCCAAGGGACCCATGGCTCGGTCGGATTACGTAATATTTAGCCCTGTTTTCGTGATCCACCAACCATCACACCTTCACCTCGCTCGTTAGTTACAAGACGGCCAGCGGAACCAAAGGGACCTCTGCTTTGCTGATGAAGTTATAGCGAGCTCGCAGCCTCCCTTGCAGCCAGCATGATTATAAAACAGCTTCGCCTTGGCTCAATGCCAATGGCCGGATTCCGCGCCTCAGCAACCTGCTCCTCACCACGATCACGCGTAATACAGAGCTACTCCCTGCCGCGAACTCATCTCCTACGTTCGAGCTGTAGAAATGCATCTACTGCTGCAAGTGAATCCACGGCGAACACGGTGATAAATGCCCCACCACGGCCCAGACGAAAATCCAGAGGTATTGTTTGGACTACATTCATGGTGCTTGGGTTGGGCTGCGGATATATCTACATCACAGACACACGAGCTGGGGTACACCAATGGCTAGTACCACCTATGCTGCGATGGATATATCCAGATGCCGAAGACGCTCACCATTTTGGAGTGGACATGCTTAAATCACTGTACCGATATGGCCTGCATCCGCGTGAAAGGGGCAATCCTGATGGAGATGGCAAACTGGTGACCAAGGTCAGACCGAGCAGAGGCATCGCAGGACTCTTATCCGGCTATTGAATCACGCCTTCCTCCTGATGCTAATAATACGTTGATATAGGTCTTTGGATATACGCTGTGCAATCCAATTGGTATTTCTGGTGGTCTTGATAAGGATGCTGAAATTCCATCCCAACTATTCGAGCTTGGGCCTGCGATCGTCGAGGTTGGAGGGACCACGCCTCTTCCACAGGCAGGAAACCCGAGACCGAGAGTATTCCGTATACCGTCACAAAATGCGCTAATTAACCGATATGGGCTCAACTCAAAGGGAGCGGATAACATGGCCCTGCTTCTCCGACAGAGAGTTCGCGATTTTGCCTACTCCGCGGGTTTTGGTCTAGGTGATGCTGCTGAACAACGAGTCCTAGATGGAGAGGCTGGTGTGCCCCCAGGAAGTTTGACAGAGGGCAAGCTTCTTGCTGTGCAGGTAGCCAAGAACAAAACCACTCCGGATGGTGACATTGAGGCCATCAAGAGGGATTATGTCTACTGCGTCGATCGTTTGGCAAAATACGCTGATATACTGGTTGTTAACGTCTCTAGTCCAAATACCCCTGGACTACGGGATCTACAACGTGTTGAGCCTCTTACAAAGATATTGACGGGCGTCGTTCACGCGGCAAAGCGGACTGATCGGCAGACTAAGCCATTTGTAATGGTCAAAGTCAGCCCAGATGAAAACTCAGAAGAACAGATCAATGGTATATGTGATGCTGTGACCAAAGCTGGTGTCGATGGTGTTATTGTTGGAAATACTACAAACCGTCGACCCGACGCTTTACCCAAGGGCTACACCATGTCCAATGCAGAGCAAAACACCCTTCTTCAAACAGGTGGGTTTTCTGGGCCCCACCTAGTCGACAATACAGTGGCATTGGTTGCCAAATACCGTGCCGAACTTGACCGGCGTGCCACCCCTGTAGGCCCGGCTGTGGACGAAGAGAGTATACCAGCCACCGACATTATGGTTAGCCCGCCTCGAAAAGTCATATTTGCTTCCGGCGGCATTACGAACGGTGCGCAGGCACTTGCAGCAATCAATGCCGGCGCTGATGTTGCCATGCTTTATACCGGCTTAGTGTATGGCGGAAGTGGGACGATAACTAGGACGAAGGAGGAAATGCGAGCGGCTATAAAATCCAACTAGGGACCGCACTTTAATAGATTGCCGGCCACTGGTTTGTCTGGCATAACTATTAGCCACATGGAGATGGCTTGCTCAGTCTAGCCTTGTACACATATTTTGTATTGTACACTCAAGAGTCAAAAGAATGAAAAATAAGCCTTCAGTCGTAGTCAATTGCTCATTGCATGCATAATTTAAAATATAGATATATATAACTAGGCACTAGTAGGAGGTAAGGTTGAATAGCGTCAAATAAATTATTATTGGGAGAACAGGAATGTATCGGCAAGGGCAATTAAATCAAACTCGATAGCTGATCCGCGTCAGATATCGAGATCTGCTAAGCCTTCTCCCTCAACATACGCAAGGCCATAGCATTCTCTCCTCACTGCGTCCAAAACCTCCCTATCTCCATTTGTTAACCTTTTCAGATATTTCTCTAGGACATAGATATTATCCGTCCACATTTGTGCTTCTTGCTTCCATCTTGCAATATCTGTCTCCTTTTGCGCAATTGAACTCGGACCATCCCCTTCAGACCGTTGCTTGATGCTGCTCTCCAAACACGCGATTTCAGTTTCAAGCTGGTCCTTTTTCTTCATCAACACTATTCTTTCCCTCTCATTATCTTCCCGACTCCCATTATGGTTCTTTGCGTCCTCTAGGCGTTGTTCTTCCTTGAGCGCCATAATCTTGCTTTCTAGGTCCCCTGTTGACTTCAGCAATTTCTCTACCTCCTTATCCAAGGTGTCTATTGTTTTCTCGCGAGCTTTCTTCTCTTCACCGCCCCATGCCCAGTACCAATTCCCACTACCAATCTTTTCGACGTGGAGTTGGCCTTCGTCGCTCAATGCTTGGATATGCTCCTTGACCTGCATACCGTTGATTGAAGCTACTGGGGGGAGTGTTTTTTCCAAGTCCTTGAGGGTGTGGCATGTTCGTGATGCTTGAAGGTAGGCCAGGATACGGCATTGCTTCTCTGCGGCTGATACTCCAGCCTTTGGTGCCTAGTGGCATTATATGGTTAGGATATTACTGTTAACCTACCCCTGTAAATTATGGTACAATAAAAATGAAGAAACGCTTAACAGGCAATACTAACCATGTCGAGCAAGTAAATGAGTTGGGAGAAGCGTCGAGAACCTAATTATCGGAAAGATGAAGGGTATGCGGTTCACTGAGTGTCGGCGTAGTAGAGATGATGTATTTGAGGTTGAAAGCAGGAGACTTGAAGTTCAATTTAACTTGGTTCTTTCCCAAACACTATTCCACATTGGGACAACAATATCTAGCTTTCCTCTATTTTCCTTGCAAAACGGCTTGCGATGGTGATATTTTTCTTCTTGCTGGTGATATCAGGCACCGTAGATAATTTTTCAATACAAAGCAGATTGTAACTATCATGTGATTCACCTCACAGTATCGTCGTGGGAGAAAGCTCAAAGGTTTTGGTATCTAACGGGGTATTGACCCTACCGCAGAATGCGACCCTCCTCAGCTCGATATATTTCCTCACTCAATAGAAGAAGCTTGTGCGGATATAAATGCATAGGTTACCCAAGCCCTTTTGGACCTATACAAAGCACAGGTGATTGACACTTCGAGGACTTCTCTACGGGTGTTAAGGGCCTGTAACCCAACTTACACAGAATGGAGATACCCGTGACATCCAGGAACGTCTTGCCATAAGTCATGGAGAGGAGGGTCAGAGAAAGATGGCCTTCGGCAAACACCAATGAGACCTCATCTGCAAGCCTAATAAATGGCAAATCCACCCAAACCTGGTGTCATTTATCAGAGCAGGTCGGTGCGATGCGTGATGGTCAAGTAGCCGGTTTCTCTGACGCCGGCCGCATGGCGGACAAGCTACTTAACCGCCGGCGCTTTTTGCTCTTTCGCTGACGTGACAAAGTTGTAGCAACATCATCAAAACCCCCGCAACTATATCCATCGATTCGAGATCGCGTACTGAATGCGGAAACCGACGTTTCACGGGATCTGACAACCGGTGCTTCCGCCACCCACTCAGGATCACTGGGCACTGCACCCTCCACCAAGGCCATATCTCCTGTTTCTTCAAGAGCCTCTACGGCAGTCTCCTCCAGCAAGAAACCCAGCGCGATCAAAGCAGTTTCGTCCATGCTACGCCATGCTGACTGGCCACGATCGACCGTTTTATTTGCGTACAGGTCTGAAGTATATGCATGGATAGCCTTGAGCAGGTCAGAGTCTGGCAAGGGCTGGTCTTCGGGTATATCTTCGTTGGCAAAATAGAAATCGTTTTCCATATACCTTACGGGGGCGTTTTGCTTCCGAAATAGAACTTCTTCGGGAGTGACAGCTGGGAATATTCGTGTTGAGGTTATACCGTGATAGTCATTAGCTAGAGTCGAAGACTTATGAGAAGATCTATCTGTTGCGATGCGACCTTTCCACAAGCTGTTAACTGGGCTGAAAGTAAGTGTTTTTGATCGTTTAGGTTGCTAACCTGCAACAGCATCATAAACATTTGCATGCCGGTACTTTGCTCCCCTCCTGTCACTAGCATCTATGGGCCCAGGTCTGGCAGACTTCTCATCTATATCTCTATCCATCGGTGTCGTGCTTTTTATAATGACAACCTCATCGTCCTCCATGCGATTTTCTACCACGGCAAAATAAAAATAAAATAAAAGCTTAGTCATCTTCCGCTTGTGCTTTCGGTCTTGGCAAATTTTCATAAGGTTGTCAGCGATTGAGCCGCATTTGAAAGACTGAAACACACATCAACGCCAGAGTAGAGACTGACGACGACGAACCTGACGCAGCTGATCGACTCAGATGAATGAATTCATATATCCTCAATAGGTCTCAAGGATCTATCCACCCTTTTCAATTCCACTTTGCGCAATGTACTCGTCTTGTCCATGGCCTCGCCGCTGCTCCAGGCATCCGCTTCTCTGCAGGCAAGCAGCATAAATCCCAGCCGGGAGCTGCGGATATAGCCCAAGAGACCCCCGATATACGCCATTCAGATTTTGATTTTGAAGATATTTGGGCACATAAAGCCGGAGTTAATGTTTTGGCAATAGATCAATATGAAAAGCGGTAGTATGTTTCGCCACGATATCCCAAAGTAGCCTTTGAACCCATCAGCACTGAGAAGCTACAAGTGACTAAGAGAATCAACCTTAGTATGATTTCGGGCGGCGCAGATACCTCTATTCATTTATGGGATTTAGAAGGCCAAGGCACGGAACTTAATTACCTTCATCAACCAGTTGCTTCTGTCTCAAAGTACGTTCTGCCCAGCTTCCAAACTAAACTTATCGACTGTCACTGACGACAATTGTATAAAAGACAAACAAATGCATCAACTCATACCCATGCACTGACGTCTCTCTCGATATACCCGTTCGATCCTACACCATCAACCATCCTAAGTACTTCACATGACGCTACGTTGAAACTATCCAGCCTTGGGGAATCAGATATCGTTCCGGTTCATACATTCAATCTTCATTCAACGCCGTATTCTCATTCATTGTCTGCGCACCAGGCATCTCACTTACTTATTGCAGTTGGTACGTCAGAGAATGCTATACGGCTATTGGACCTTCGTTCAGGGCTATCAACCCACGCCCTCCCAGCCCATACTGGGGCTGTTATTTCTGTTCAATGGGCACCGCATAACCCTCATTTAATTGCCTCCGGCTCTAAAGACAACCGAGTCATCATTTTTGATGTCAGAAGGAGCGGCCGTAATTCGGCAATAGCTTCCTTTGATATGGACGACTCGATGGGTATACTGTCGCTTGAAAGATCCGCTAGCCAGCAAACCAGGCAGAGTGGAAAACTATTTAGTTCTAGCTCCCGTGCCCATAACGGTACAGTAACCGGGGTTCGATGGACATCAAATGGCAGTCATTTATTAAGTGCAGGTCAGGATTCGCGCATTCGCGTTTGGGACGCTTCCACTGGTGCGAACACCCTTATCCATTTTGGGCCTCGCATAAGGAATAGTGCCTCTCTGCACCTTGCTGAACGAGCCCCTCTTATTCTGCCTGAAAATAACAGTGTGGTGACCCTCTCACAAGGTCACGGCGCGGTTCTCTGGCCAAATTATAACGACCAAGACGACAGAGGCGAAATCTTCATGTTTGAAATTCACGATGGTACCCAAATCAAACACCTACGCGTACCAGGATTGATATCTAGAGAAAAACTCCGTGGAAGACCAACGGCTCTGAGTGCTGCGAGAATTAACGCCCTTTCTTGGCGGGGTAACGGAGCGTCTGGTGAAGGGATGGAGATGTTTTCGGCTCACGGAGATGGTACAATCAGATCATGGACCTCTCGAACAGAAGAAGACGAGGAGTTTGAAGCAGAGGCTGTACACAACGAACAAGAAGAGAAGAAGAGGAAAAGGGATATACTTGATGAAGTATACCGTGGTCTTATGCAACCGGGTATCACCTTCACCTAAGGAAGACGACTCTTGTCATTCTGGAATAGATAATAGTAGCCAAAGGCTATGCAACAAAAAATAAAATAAAATAAAAAATAAAAAAATACTGTGATAATGATCGACGCAGGGATCGAACCTGCGATTTTCCGCGCAACTTTATATGTAAGGCGGACGCCTTAACCACTGGGCCAGTCGATCCACATAATGGAAAAACGCTACTGTCTGCAAATAAGCCATTGCCACAACGCTTAGTAAGACACAAACCCCTTGCTCACCCCCTACATTCAGTAGGAAGTGATTGATCTTGGAACTCTATCCAAGGTTACCGAGTTGTGAGATACTACACATAGCTATTCTGTCATGAAACAGACCTACCGTGGTATTTGGGCTTAAATACTAAGTAGAGGGAAATAATCAGGAGCCTTTAGATCTGCGTGGTCAAAGTGTTATGAGTTAATATAGCGAATAGTAAGATAGCATTGTCCTATTTAGAGCTCTGGAACAAGATTTCCGAAGAGACTTTTCATTTAATGATGGTTTGTTGTTATTTATTTGCCAGTGAAGGCTTTAGCTAACTAATGTTGAAGCTAAATATAAAGGAAGTTTAACTCTTTCGAGTGTCCTTCAACCCTACAGATATTTCAAACTCACATATATCTATCCCAGTGACCAAACAATGCAGAAAGGTATCCTAGCTTAAATATACATAAAGTAATAGCTTCAGTAAGCATGAAGCAGGTGTTGCAAGGCAAAAGCAATAGAGATAGTGGTCCTCGCCCCCTTCTCCATGAAATGTTGCAACATCGCAGAGCATGAAAGGGGGAGATTACTCGGGCCCCCAATAATAGAAATGGCCCTTGCAGATCGAAAACGGCCCCCAAACTTATGCAAGCTGAAGCTCAGCCACCAAGGGATCTGAAAGTGTTTCAAACGCTAAAATATCCTCCAGGCTGGTGCTGAATGTGAAGGGGCAAGGAGCGTTTTGTGTAAAGCTAAAAAGGGGGTATATTGAATAAATATTATGTATATAGAAGGATTCATCATAATGCCTTCCGTTGAATAAAAATGTCGCCAACCCAGGTCCACTGGGTAGTTTAATGCTGTTGTAGTGATCGTAAAAGGAGTGCCGGCTCCTCGGCCTCAGTGATAGTATCAAACTAATCACAAGGCTGATAAATTGATAATTATCGTAAGACATCGCCTCGTCTTCAGTGTAACTTGAACAAATCCAGGAAAAGTAAAAATTAGATCAGGAGAAAATCCCAGCCGTTTTGTTGCATGACATCTCGCCAGCGGACAATACTGTTAGTTATCAGCGGAAGCTCCCCATTAGATCGCTGGGAAAATGCGGTTGGTTGTTCTGCCTCTATGAGAGCTTTCTCGTCTGCAAGGCGCCAGACTTCCTGAAGCACGCATATCATGCGGCCAAAGCTTCCTAGCTCAGCCTGCTGACCCATTTGCTCTATTCGTTTGCTGAGTGACTCGCGGAATGTACTTCCAGGAGTTGCAAGGGAGCCGCAAATGAGTAGTGGCCAGACAAGGGAGGTATCAAATCCTTCTGGCCCACTAGGAATGAGGTCAAGCAGTTCCGCAGCATGTGAGATCAGGCTAACGGTGCCTGGCTGGTCGCGCTTGGATCCAGGAACAAGACTGCAAAGATAGACACGCGCAGCCACTCTGAATAGGGCAGTGATGTTTTTAGAAAGCTGCTGGGGTAGCAAAGCCCCGTTCTCTGAGAATGGCTTGACGAGCGATCCCGCTGGTGGTTCAGTATGGTCAAGCTGTTGAGCAAGGTTTGTGACATGGCCACAAAGGCTGGCATGGTCAGTTCGGCCCTCGATGCACAGAGCATCGAGGCACGAGATTTCTGCAATCAGGTACATGACTCGATCTTCGCAACCCATTAGTTCACAAAGCCCGGCGCTTGATCCGCCAAAGAGTTTGGTTCTGTATGTATGTGCGAACTGCGGCATCTGTCCGAGCATCGTTGATCCCAAGATATCGATCCAGGCAGCTAGGCTCATGCTGAATGGTGGATGAACAGCGCCATGGTCGGATTCTAGAAGGCGGTGGGGAAGGTCTAGTTTGTGGATCAAGCCCGTGGCTGCTTGGAAATGTTGGTGCCACGGAACATCGGGGAGAGTGTCGTTTGCACGACCAACAGCGCATTGGAAGAACGCCATACTGAGAGTTGCCTCGAGAATTTGAAGATGATCAGTATCCTGGTTCAGGGACGAGCAAAGCTCGGAAACGGCTTGGAAGCGGTGCTTAAGGATGTCATTGTCGATGAAGTCGCTGGTGACATGCTGTGTTGACTTCAGATGAACAGCGGCGATGCTTAGGCAGCAGTGCAGATAGCACTTATTCGACTCGATGGCAGGTAGAATAACGTCGGCGAAGACACCTCCTCGTTTTCTGGTTTCCAGAATGGGGAATATTTTGCTAGATAGGTGCTCAAAGAAATGATCCAGTAGATGGCGGTCAGAATCGTCAACCTGGATCGAAGGAACACCCACGGGTATGTGAGAAAACTCAAGGCAGCTATGCTCTGGGAGAACCTTGGAATCGAACACATCATTTCGCGCCCAGTCATCCTCAGCAAATGAAGGTAGCATGGCATGGGCAAGAGGAGGCTGGAAAGTATTGAAAGTAGACGTTGACGAGTCCCGTCGAGTTGGGATATTATTGATGAATAGCTCGCTCTCTGTCTTGACATCTACCTCGTACGGCGTTGGAGCAGACCAGAATCCGTTAGAATCCAGATGTGATGGCTGATCTTGGGCATATGGATCATAAAATTCCTGGATGTGAACATGGCTAGGCTCTCCTTCAGCACAGTAAGGGGGCTCTAGAGAAGGGTCTCGAGTTTGCGAAGAGGTATCCGGGTACGCCTCAGGGGTTGGGGCTGAATGAGAAAGTTCGGGAGGGCTGTATGTGCAGCATGTTTGACGAGGACATGAAACTGTCTTTTCGTTCATCTTGGTGCTCTTGATGAGATCCTTGATGTACTCCTTTTGCGACTTTCTCTGTTCGTTGTTTCCCCACCACATCGGCCGTTCATATTCGCATCGGAGCTTGAGATTTTTGCAAGCACGACAGGCAGGATGACCTTCGTCGCACTTCTTGCGTCGCAGGCGGCATGTAAAACATCCTGTATCTAACTGTTAGTACGTGTGCACCAAGTAGGACATACGCTGAGAGTAAGCAAGAAGGGTTATCTACATACCAGAACGAGATCTTTTATGTAGTTTCTCTGCCTTCTTGATGCCAGGATTCCCCTGTGTTGACGAGCTAGAGGACGACTTTCCTGTAGGCTTGCGGGACTTTTTGGATTTGGAAACCGGCTTGACAAGTTCTATAGAGCTGGCCATACCTGGAGAAGAGGCGGGCGATTTGGGAGAGGGGGCGATAGTAGCGAAAGACATTTTGAACCGACAACAGTAAGCTTTTTAAGAGTAGAAACAGTTGCAACGAGAAAGAAAAACAGATGGATCCGTCCAAGGTAAATAAGGTCGAGGATGTACCACTGGAGGAAGTATTAGATAACCTCTTAACCTGGCCAGCAGGAGATTTATCAAAAAAAAAGAGTGTGATAGCGACAGCGGACAGGTATGAAGCCCTGAACAAAAGAGGGAACCAAAAAAAGGGGATTAATTATGTTCTTTAAAAGATTATGCTGCGGGCAAGGTATTAGTTTAATAATTGATATCAAAGCTGCGCTAACCGACCAGGTTGGACTGTTTCTATTTTTGACTACATTAATAGAAATCCGCCGCGAGAAGATCAAAAACTCAAAAACGAGAGTAAAGAAGCAAAGAACTCACTACGGGAGCTCAAGAATCATGCAAGGAAGGATCCTTGGCGAAAGATGACTGGCCAGTCCTCTTTTTCCGCGAGCCGCCCTGGTCAAATTTAGTTGCGCACAAGCATGCAGATGGCCAGGGTATGATGGGTCCAAGTGTGGAGCGGGGGTATGGATACCATGCAGGAAGGAGGTGTGATCGAGCGCCGGATAGGCTGCAAGCGTGCAGCTCAAAGATTGACCCCATTTGATCCCCAGCAAATCAGAGCCTCGATACCTGGTGTTTGGAGGAAGTTCCTCAGCACCAGCCTTTCCCAGTTTGAGTCGTATATTCCCTAAACGTGTCTAAGTATACACAAACTCAGAGGAGATGATCATTAGTGGGAATGTTTGGTGCAATATCTCATTTTATTGATTGCTACCCTGGGGTTGGAATAATCAACATTCTTACCCTTCGGGTCAGGCTATTAACCCAAGTATACTCTGTACCGGGAAGGATTGCAGTCATGGAGGCACATGTATGCAGGGCCAGATCTCCACCCACGTACGAAGACATGAGGGCCCCAGTTCGGCTATGGCTGGGGATGGGCAGCCGAGGAATCTTGGAGATATGCATGCTGACTGTACGGGGTACATTTAGAGCAGGGTAGCTTCATTTCGGGATCAAGTCGGTGTCCTCTGTTCGGCTAGGCTTGATCCGTCTGTTGCCATTCCAACCAGGCACAATGTGGAATGGTAGTACATTCAGCATTCAGCATTCAGCATTCTCATTCGAGAGGAGCGTTTAGTGACCCCTGAGAAGGAAAGGGGGAAACGCCAGATAAGCCTAGGACAAGTGCAAGGCACCCTTCTCCCTCATCGTTTAATCCATCACAGGCCCTGGTTGGGGATGTTTTTCGTTTAGTTGGCTAATATTTCATTGATTCATTGAGCGAGGGATCAAGCCGGTTGAGAAGGACGAGGGAGCTCTGAGGCGAAGGAGCAGATGAGGTTGAAGAGCAGCTTGCCAAGCTTCGGGAATGCGAGTCCTGATTCGTCAGCTGTCTCTGCCGCTAATCCTAAAGAAGTAAGTGTATCATTATGCTCGGTTCAGAGCGAAGTTTGGCGTGTCGAGAGGACGCGGAGTAATACGCAAGGACGCAATTATTGAAAGCCAATAACCTCATGCATGCATCGCGATGATTCAGGGTCCTCGTAGGCAGATGGGATGGATGTGACAAGGCGCTGTGGAGCCCGCTCGGGATCTTCATGCACGACAGGGTAGCCGGGGAGAGGCGAGATCACGAGCTGGTTGAAGGTATCCTGTACAGAGAGTACTCCATAGTACGGAGTACTAACATGGAATCTACTCGGTGATTTCACCCACGGCTCCACCAAGGTCGGAGGCCGCTGCAGGTCACTGTGACTCCAGGCGGCCCAGCTTGGCAGAGTGCACTGGCGATGTGACAACGCCGTTGGGCTTGCAGATTTCACACGTCACTGGGCCAATGAACGACAGCGGCCGGGGTCGTTGAGAGATTCAAGTGCAAAACCTTGTTCTGTCGATTTGAGATGCAGGACGGGAGGTAACAGATAAGAGGCGGGTGGGAAACACCCCATAATTAGCAACAATTTACCCAAGTTAATTATAGCAATATTTAATTCAACTTAATTAACTCTAAATTTAAGGTTAATATAGTTACCTTCCGTTTCTATTTATATAACCTGTGTTAATAAGGTTAATTAGCCTGTATTAACATTAACCTGACAAAGGGAGGTGTGATATGGGTTAATTAACCTGCACATGACAACCGCCGCCTCCCGCGACTTTTCTTCTTCAACGAGGTTGAGAAAGGAGCCCTCCCTGTCACAAGATACCTATCCAGGAGCCAAAGGGGAAAGTACAGTCCCGGCCGAGATGGTGTTCGCCGCCTGCTGTGCCGTCCAGCCTCCCCTTTTTCTTTCGTTATTATTGCTCTATGAGTAATCCGTCCTTACGCTTATGATTTTTCCAGGGTAGTCCGTCCAGCAAGGCATATTCTCCTGACATTTCGACGGCTGACTGATGGCAAATATTTTCTAGCAGGTAGCAGGCTAGCAAGCTCTCTGACCAATTCCTAGCACTTCCATCCACACACTCACTCCCATGCCTCAAGCCGCATGGTATGGCAGCCGAATTCTGCCGCCCCTGACAAAGATAATATATGCATACCCAATTGGACTACAGGGTTATACAACCTTGTGCCTCAGCTCCAGAAGCCGAAGTCAATTGCACATCGTTCTACATCTCTGAATCAGCATCACTTCCTACTACAATATATAATCGACTACGTGGTCTTGTCAGGAATCATCATGATCAACCAACCAACCTCACAAGTTGGCAAGATGAAACCTTTTCCGACCTCAACAGGCCACAAATATCCCCCCAACTGGCTGAAGGCATGTATGCGGACTGTCGCTACATACATTCATTTATCACACAAGCAAGGAAGCCCGCTTAAGCATCCACGGGTGGCTCTCAGCTAGCATTCCGGAAGATATATGTCGAGTTTTATACCATACACCGCTGGGTCTTTGGGAAATAATATCACGGCATCACGGGTCATACCCGATTCCCTGGCATCTAACTGAGGGGGAGAAACGCATATATAGCCATGGTTCTCGAGCTATATACCACACTGATGTACTCGTACAGTTCCTTAACTTCCAGGATTATCATCATTATGATGCATTCCCTTAATGCCAGCCACTCAGGCGGGCACCCGAGTTTCCGGAATCGAATCCCAATTTCTAGGAGCCCCTGTGTATGTGACAAGTATATCCTTATGTCATCGTGCCATGCATGTCAAGATGAACTTCTTCTGGCAGCAATTACATCTCGATGTCATGGTATGTAACAATCGTCCCACGAACACCTCATCAGCATTTCCTAGAGCATGTTGAGGGGGTGGGCTGTCAATTCTCGGTTTACACATGATGTACCTCATCATGCTTTGAAACAGTACATGATATTTGACAGCTGTAATTGTGGCTATAACTTATAGTGTCCTTGACATTCTGTCGCTCATGATATGAGATCCGTCATACTTAAGGGCAGGGCAAGGATGGACCAAGCATACCTCTGCGAGCTGCTTTCAGCTCTGGCCCATATCTTGCTTCTTGCCTTGCACATACATCCATTTGGTAACCAGTCACCGCGTCACATTTCAGCAAAAGTCTTTCATAATTATGGGTACATATCCAAGATGTAGGATAAGCTCTGCTCGGATATCCAAGCTCATCAAAAAATCATAAGCTCCAAAATTTCGTATGAGCAATTGATTTTTTGAATTACTCCATTTACGAGGATCTTGTCCTAATCGCAATTATGCCCCTGAGCAGGAGGAGTAGATAGAAAATGCTCCTGTGCGTTACGATGCATGCGCTGTACAGAATTTTTTTCTCGTCCCTGGTGTCCTGTGGGTGCGGAGCCCGACTTGTCCCTCTTGGCATATATATATATATACTGCATTCTTCTCATGCGAACGGGGTAGCTGCAGCTCTCTATATTGCCCTGTGGGTGCAGCCTATAAACTGCTCCGCGCAGTGCTGGGCAAGCGATAACTCGCACACTGTTGCGCTATACAATGCAGGCGCAATCTCGAGGAGCTGTGATCACTTCTCAAGCCATAGATCCCTGGAAGGCGAGGTGGAATGAAAATCCAGGTTTTCTTCAACTCTCCTCCTGTAGCGTGTATATACATCTATGTATGCGCTCCACATGGCTCGTATTGCCCGATGGTCAGAGAAGCACTTCTGGCCCAGACTATAAGCGATTCGTACAGGGTCCCTCAGTTATCGATCTCAGCCAGCTCAGACGTTTTTCAACGGCGAAATAGTTTGTGAACGTATGTCACTTGATCGTTACACCGCAACGTACTACAGCTGTGGCAAATATCTCCTATAATCATGCTGCCCCAGGGTGTGAGAGAGGCGACCGAGCCATCGGAATCCAATTGCTGTCCTCGGTATAGCCGACCTTTTGCTTTTCAATGCAAAGCGTTGGACTCGCTGTGTGATCAGCAGGACGTCTTAAGCAAACGCCACTGAGCTGACCGGTATCGCTCGCAGCCGAGTATGATGGTATCGATGACTATGGCATACATGGTAACGCAGCAGGACTCCCGTTATTCCATCTTTACAAAGTTTGACTCAAGCGGTGTATTCTAGCCTTTTGCTTCTTTTCCATCATTTCCCT